CCATATAGCTGTAAAACTGCAGCAGGAAAGCGTTTAGGATGAAGCGTTTATTTGCATTGCCTTGAGTTTAGGATAAAAAGCGCAGAGCGGCTGGGGCGCTTAAGCCGCCTCAGCTTGCAAAGGTCTGGGTTAGGTTTGTGCAGTGTCAGTGCTCTTTATTTTGCGTTTGAAAAATGTGCAGGGGGTTTGTTTTGCAAGTGAGGTGGCGGTTTGTTACAAAGCTGAATATTGCAGATTATTTTTGGGGCAGAAAAAATAAGAGCTTGTTGGTGCCTCTGTAAATCATCAAAATCCCTTTGACGGGGCAACGTTAGAGCAGGGCCATGCGCGTCTCTGGGTTTCTCTTTCACATCAACGTGCCAAGCAGCTGTGAGCGGTAGCGGTGCTGCTGGGCTCGCGCCTCGCTGCGCCTGCCTCGCGTGGCCGGGACACAGACCGGAGCAGCGCCGGCGCCGACCGCATCGCGTGGCGGCAGCATCTTGCATGCGTGGACTGAGTTACATGAACTTCTTACCACTAATGCCTGGTTTACACCCGTTACTAGAAACTAGACAAAATTTTTTTTTTTTTTTTCCTTTTTTAAGTTGTGTTATAATTTACTCTGCCCCGGAGGAGGGGGAGTGAACGGTGCTGCACGCGGCGTCTCGCTGTGAGTTACTCTGCGCGAGCGCCCTATGTGGCTCCTTGCAGAGGAGCCCGGCGGGAGGTTGTTGACGCTGGGACCGAAGCTGTGGCCACACGCAAGGGCCTGAGCTGGCCCCGAGCTCCCCCATTTGGGTGGCAGCAGCAGGGACCTCCCGGGCCGGAGGGACTCGAGCAGCTCTGGATCCCACAGAGGGGACGGACGTGGAGGGGCTGCGGGCTCAGGGCGCTCCCGGCCGACGGTGCCTCGATGGCTGCAGCAGCGCGGGCGGCCGAAGCTGCTTGCTGGAGAAGGGACCAAACACACAGCGCTCCGGTTGTTTCATCTGCAGCTGATTTTGCCTCATTTATTTGCTCACGTTGGCTTTCAACCAGAGCCGAGCATGTTTCTTCGGCGCTGACGGACGGATTTACGGCCGCAGCGCTCCGGCACCGTGCTCGCCTTGCGTTAGCACTGCCATTTCTTGCTGCAGTAAAAGGTCTCACAGTTTCGCCTGGCACGGTGCGTGACAAAGCTGTGCATGGACAAGGGCACTCAGCGACGCTACCGCCTTGCTTGTAACCAGGGACAGGCAGGGTCGAGTCTTGGGGCGAGACTCCTGCCTTACGAACACTGTGAATTCACTAATAAACAAGCAGCACCTGAAATTCTAACACTTTTAATTAAAAACATTCGAAATGGTCTTGCACGGTGTTGGCTGGTTTTTAGTAAGGAGCGGCTGGGGCTCTGGGGTGAAGGGCGCTCAGCTGGGCTGGCCCAAGAGGCAGCTCAAGGTCCAAGCGCCCCACGGCCGGGCCCAGCTCAAGGTCCAGTCCCTGTCACCTTTGCAGAGTATCCGAGCAAGGTTGGGGGTCTGGGGAGCATCTGAGCAAGGTTGGGGTCTGGGTCCGCAGTCCCTGTCACCTTTGCAGAGCATCCGAGCACGGTTGGGTCTGCGCTGGCTCTGCTCGTGTCGCCCTGCAGGAACGCGTCCCGGCACGGGGACAGCTTTGTTCTCAGGTGCTGTCGGCTCAGCGGTGCCTTCCTCGTCCTCCTCCCTCCAGGAGCAGCAACTGGGAGAAGGAGCAACGTCCTGCAGCGAGAGGAGAACGGGCCTTGGCACTTCACTCGCCGGCAGTCCCAGAGGAGGCTGCTCGTCTGACCGTCCCCCTTTGCCTTGGATTCAGCCACAGCTGCCGCTTCTCCCACCCTCAGCTTCCCCTCCCTAAATTTACCGACATTTCAGGAAAAAAAAAATACATTCAAACAAAAAAAAAGACCAAACCAATCATTCATACTTTAATAGTTCTCAAAATACCCATATATAAAAATATACACAGCAAGACAAGCAGATTTCATCTCCCGTAACAACAACAACAAAAGAAGAAATCTGTTTCATGTTCAGCAGTCTCTGGGCAAGGCCTCTTGACAGACGTCATTAAACAAGGCTGTATTTTTACTAACCCCTTTGATTGTTCTTGCAAATACTTTTTTTTTGCAATGGCTAAATCTCACCGCCTTCTTACTCTGTTAACTTCTGTACAGTAACAGCTTTCAGGGACAGCAAGGATGGTTTGTCCTGGAAAAATGGCAATAAATTCTTACCTGACACACCGTAAAAAATTGTTTTATCTGAATTTAGGGATATTATTGACAGTAAACTACTGGTGAGGCAGGGGTAGGTGTGCCAGCTCTGTGACTCTGTACTATGTATTTAGAGAGGGAGAGAGAGAGATTTGTAATTGCCAACAATTATAAATGATTATTATAATTTAAAAAAAAAAGTTCTAGATGTTTCTTCTTGAACATTCAGTCAGTCACACTTTGGTAGGCAGCAGACCAGCCCTGATCTCATGTTCCTGGCAGGATTACAGGCTGCTGGCACCCACTCCACCCCACAGCGCAAAGATTCTGCACCTGGACCTCAAGAGCATCCAGTCAGGGGCAGTGAAATGAAAAAACAGAACCCAAGGTCTAATTAGACCATTTCTAATTAAATGAGGATGTCCGAAAAAGAGACAGCCACACTTATACATAATACTTAGTGCTGTGAAAATACAGCAAGGGCTGCACTGGCAATCCTCTGATGTAGCACACGCTCATCTCGGTGCGGGCAGTCTGCTGCAAGGCAAATCCTCCAGCACCCAAACGCAGGCAGCAGCTCTGATAGAAGAGGGGTTGGACGGGGAGGGCAGGTTTAGCTCACAAGGGGTGTCTGGGGAGCAGGAAGCATTACTGCTTCTTTGAACGTGTATTTTAAGTCAGTGCTTTCTATTCTCATGACCGCAGTAATTATAAAGCTGTAGGAATTACACTACCTGCTTACACACACACTACCTTCTCACTAATGCTAGACACAGACTGTGGTTCCCAGGGATGTCAGAACTTCCACTGTCCTTTGAGAATCTTAAATACAACAGGTTTTAAAAGGCACCGAGTTTCTCTATACGTAGGCTTCACGGATGTGCTGCCAGAGCTGATCTTCACCATTTGATATTAAATCCAGTGCCTGCTTTCTCCACTGCGTGGTACTGGGTGTGCAAGGCGCTTGCAGCCTTTGGTGAATCCGTGCCCCCCAGCCACTGCTCGTACAGCTCATCCACACCCCGACTCCTCTCCGGGGTTTCAGTCCTCAGAGACTCGTAGAGCTTCTCCACTTGCTGCAGCCAGTCCTTGCTGGCCTCTCCTTCCACTTTGATCTGGCCACCTCCATTTAAACAGCCTACATGCAACAAAACAGGAAAGTACCCATGAGTTTAGAAATTACTTCAGCTTTATCAGGAAAAATACTAGTTAGGATGACTAAATCCAAAAGTCAGAAAGTGTTTAAGTTACTCTATAGTTAAGGGAAACAAGTAATTGTGTTTTCCTGGTGCATAACAGCTGCAGCATAGGCAGTGGTCCTTAAGGGGAGATTATTGGCCCAATGTGACCCATCCTAATTCAATATATGGCCCAGGTGTGAGTGCACAGCTGCCAGGGCAGCTTGGGAAGCACCAGGGGATATAAGGCATGGAGGAAGCACTTGTGGTTCTCATTTTGCCTCTCTAGAGAGGGCTAGGATGTAATTCAGCCAAGAGCAGCCCTGGTGCCTCAGCTGGAGGTAAGATAAATGTTCCTGGGAGACAGTTCTGGCTTTGTTGTTCTGGTGTAGATGTGATGAAAAGGTCATAATGTGCAATTGCTCCCCCTGGTCTGTTCTTGGTATTGAACAACCTTGTGAGTTGCAAGTTGTACAGACCCCAAGGAAAGGATCCCTGAGAGAGTGAAAAAGGGCAGCTGGGGTTCCCTGCTGGCACTGCATGCTTGTCTATCACAGCTACCCAGAGCTGAAATATGAATTGAGCTGCCCAAGCTTTCTAAAGTAGGTTTGAAAAGAGCTAGAAGAAAAAAAGAAAGGCTTTGCAGAAAGCAGGAAAGGGTAAAATAACCAGAAAAAGATCTTTTTTTCACTAGATGCAGCAGGCACTCTCTAGGAGCATAGTGTTAACGTTTGCAAACTGTTTACAAAATTAGAAGGGCCTCCTCAAAAGCATTAGTTGCACCAGTTTCAAGATGTTTTTGTAACTTGCCACTTAAATCCTGAAGAATGACTAGCTTCTAGATAAAAATAATATACTGGCAAAAAACTTTGCAGTAATCACCATGTCTTAAAGGTCTGAAGGCTCTGCCATATTATTCAGCATTTGAGAAACTGTTTTTGTCACTTCAGTGACAGTTTCATGTTGCTTCCTGCAGCTCTGGACTCTAACAGTGCAACTCCTACGTGCCTTACCTGATGGGCAAGCCATGACTTCAACATAGTGGTAAGGGGATTTTCCTCGTTTCAATTTCTGCACTAAGTTTTGTATGTTTCGAAATCCATATGCCAAAGCAAACTGGAGCAGGACTACTCCATCCTTCTCCAGCGTCACCTCCTGGAAGTCCTTGTTTCTGAGGAACAAAAGCAAACAAAATGTCTTATCTAAATTAGCTTCTACTAAACCTATGGAAAATACTGTGCTGGAACTAAGCTCTTTACTAAGTCCCAGTCAAAAAGTGTCCTGATTTTTTTTTTCTTTACTCCACAAACAAGTCAGACAAGAGAACTAGCTTGCAAAGATTTAGTTGTATTAGAAGCTACAATCCTTTTCAGATCTTGTTTGAGCATTTTCCATTTGAATTGAGCTTGCTGAAGAATGTCTGCATTGAATAACTGCTTAAAATCTAAGCAGAGCTCAAACACAAAGTCTCATTGCAATGGGCTTTCTGGGTTGCTTGGCTGGCTTCAGTCAACTTTGCCCACCAGTGGGGCTTTTCAAAGAAACTTTTAAAATTGTAGCTGGTCATAACACCACCCAGGGAGTAACCCAGTATTGAAGGCTTTCCAACATCAGTAGAAATAGCTCTTTATGATAAGAGAATAAGTAATTTGCGGTGTGTGTTAATTTTAAGTATCTTGTCTTAAGACTGCTGGGGACTATTTCTATCTCATGGATCAGAAAATCCTAACTATCAATACCTCTGATTAGGGATATAATTCCTTAGAAAAAGTACATTAAAGTAACACCTAGGAAGCTAGCAGGAATCTCAGTTTAAATGTGCCTCATGTCCAAGTTCAAGTGACTATTTTGTCTTACTGCAAAATGATTAAATGGGAACCTTAGAGTCCTGACATTTGGTTTTCTGTGAGTTAGATTAGTAATGAATCCTCTTCAGTGACCTGATCACAGGTGAGAGAGCTCAAATCCATGAACTTGGTCTTTTAAATTACTCTAGAAACTGTTTGCAGCTGAACACTGGGAAAATTCACCAGGCCAAAATAAAGTGTGTGGGTGGTGAAGGGGCTAGAAGTCTCCAAGGGAAAAGGCTGCACAAAGTGCTGGCTGATTTATTGCTCAGCAACTGTGGGAGTGAGATGCCAATTCCCAAGCCTTGAAGTAAAATGTTTAATGCTACAAAGACATTTTCAGCCATCAGCAAGATAACAGCATAAACAGAATTGCAATATAAATAGTGCTTTATGCAAAACTCTAACTTACTTTAAAGGTTTGTACTGAATTGTATCCACTTGAATTCCAAAGAGTTCCTTTGCTGCGTACTTGTATACGTGCTCCAAATAACCACCAGAACCACCTCCTGAGTGGCCAGTGAGCTCCTCTTCACCACTGCAGCAAAACCTGAGGGGAGAGAGAAAGCAGCTGCTTTGGAGACCCTTCTGCAAACAGCCAGCAGCAGCTCTGCTGTTCTTTGAAGCAAATGAGTTTGATTAGGTCAATGCTGAAATACCTTGAGTACTACTAAAAACATGATGTTGTACCCTGTGAGGTTTGGGTAGTAAACCTGTTACAAAAGTTCATGGAATTCAAAAGCAACTGCCCAAGCAACAGAGTAGTCCCCTTAGGACTCCTAGCCTTTCCCCTTCTCTTGGGAACTGACTATTTATAGCTCCAGGGACCTCTAGATTTAACACTGGGCTGACTAGCAGGGGATGAGTGGAAAGGCTCCATGCGCTCTGACAAGGCCTGATCCATACACTGCAAACTTAATGTTGCCAGGCAATTTCTGTAACAAAAATACATTTGGGAAGACCAGAATGGGCAATTATTTGAGATCTAATGAAACACCTTCTTTTTGTCAGCTTCCTATTTGGTGTTTCTGTGAACATCCTGGGTTATACTTCATTATTTTCCCCCAATTTCTAAATATTGATTATATGGACCTGTATAGTGCATACTTCTGGAGAACACAATATAGGAGTCCTTTCTTGGCCATGAAACACCTCATTGCTGCTAAATCCTTCTGCAGCATAAGCAGCCAGGCTATGGAAAGCTCTAGATCTGCACTACAACATGTTTTTGGAAACAAGCTACTTTAGATCAGGCTGTTGGGACACACCAAAACATGTCTGGGAAGTGCTGATGCTGTACCTACAAGCATGGAGAGATGAAATTTGTGTTGCTCTGGTTTCATATGCTTAAAACTTGCGTAACAAAAATGAATGAAATTAATGATGCTAGGGCACTTGCTTTCTACATAGCTGTTCCAACAGAATCAAGTTAAATGCATCCTTGTGCAAGCTGTGCTAATAAAAGTTCTTCAATTTGAGTTTGGCACAAGTAATCCCATCTCACTGACAGGCCAAAACACAACCAACTATTCAGAGATCAAGATAATGTTTCTTAAAAACAGCTCAGCAGCTGGAAGCCCCAACAATGGCTTTTGTTAGAGGAGAATAATGAGATGGGGACTCTGCTTCAAAGCACTTGTGAAGCAGACACGCTTGCATTCTTCTGCTAACAGCTGCAGAAGGGAAAACACTTGAATCCAGGCCAAATGATTTCAAGTCAAATCAAAGATGTTGCCTCTTGCAGATAACATCTTGGTTTTAGAAGAACTACAGGAGATGGTTTAGCCTGTAATCACTTTCAGAAACTATTTTTAATGCAGTCTTGTTTACAGGAACTGAGATTCATTAATGAGTGCTTCAGTGTGTCTGGCCTCACGTACTGCTACTCTCTGCAAATGAGGCTGCCAGGAAGGCTTCAGAGCTGCCTGGGGCAAACAGTTACACCAGCACAAGTCCTGGGATTTCTGGCACTTTATCTCATTCTTGCTGCCAAATGTAATAACCTCTTAATGGGCTTTTCCATGTGCTGGGGGATAAGTAGAGCAGCAGCCATCGAACTGCTTATTTTAATGCTCCAAGTTCTGTGGAATACGTGCTGTTCTTAACCAGTCAATTTACTGAGCAGGTTAAAGCGAGCGGAAGGTCAGAGGCCCTTTATCACCACAAGCATCTGGCCTAGCACTCAGAATGTCCTACCTCAAAATTAGCCGGGGATATTTATCAAGTAATTAGACATTTTGTTCTGGCTTATAACTGACACTTACATAAAAACATATCCTAATGCATTCAAACACTTCAGAATTTTTCTTTTTTTTTTTTTTTCTGTTAATTGTGTAACAGTAAAGCAGGTAGAACTGAAATGACTGTTTACAGGAGTAACTTTTGGGATCTAACTATGTAGACAGTATATTTTATATATATATATATGTAGTGCAGCAACAGACTTCTGTTAGCAAGTTTTCTCACTGATTTAGTTTTTTTTTCCACTTTGTAGGTCTACAGATCCCCACAAAAAATGTAAGACTACCACGCAATTTATAATTCCTTATGCACTTATATCACTATAATACTCTTATATTCTTACTGAGCTAATTCTGGCAGTCCTGCTGTGTCGAGGAACTCTGTGAATACTTGGTGAGTATGACCAAAGGCGCAAATTAAATTTTGTTCTTACATGATATCCAAAGGAGCAGGATCTACATCTGATAAAGATATTCCTTCTTGTTCCAACAACCTTAGCACTTCTCCTATAGCACAAACACATGTAAAAAGCTGTTTTAGAGATGAATTAAAACCAAATACACCAATCAGTACTTAAACCTACATCTGCAAACTATACCAGGGTGCAATTTATGTTATTAAAATGAAATTAGACAACAGTATCCATGCATTACTTCTGTCAGAGACAAATATTATAGAAGATAATGAGAGAAAGATTATAAAAATCCTGGGAGCACCACACTGTGAGGCTCCCAGAAATTAGTTAGACTATCTTTGGTTCCACTTACCTGTAGTGATTACACAGTCCACATCTCGAGTTTGGTACTCTTGGTTGAAAAAGTCTGGCCTTGAAGCCTCTAGCTTTTTGTCATAACAGGGCATTACTGTTACATGGTATATCTGGTCGGGTGTTAAGTGCTGCAAGAAAGATAAAGCTGTGCATTGGATTGGTCAGTATTAAACTCTTGAAGACAACTTTTCCAGCTACAGATGAGTGATGATACTAATACCACCACGCCTGGAGAAATACTCTATTACTTGAACATGAGTGTTTTTATTTTCCTTCTCGCAGAACTCAATTTTTGTTTGTAGCAAATTTCATCCGTATGGACTTTTACTTTTTTCCCCCCCGTTTTTGCTAGTGCTATGATCCAAAGTCAGTCAGTGATTAGTCAGTCCTAATTATTACAGCTAAGAGGATGCACTTCCTACACACTACTAAAATCCAGCTCCTGCATCGGCAACTAACAAATAGACAAAAACCTCACAACCATCCAAGAAATGAGTCTAGCCCAAGGAAACAAGTTTCTGACTCAAGGCCATTGTTTCAGCATTGGTGCCAAACACTCTCAGTAGCTGCCAATTTTTGTAACAAGTATGCAGATGTCAGCATTTATTTAATACAAGTGTTAAGCCAGTGCTCGTTAATGAACAATAAATCACACAGAAATGGCGCTCAAGTTTCTTGCTTGACAACTCTGAGCTATTAGTATGACTGTAGTCTTTAAATATCAAATTTACATCTGGAAAGATTCCAAAGGTTAACGGGGGAAAAAGAACTAAGTCAAACTGAAACAGAACATGAAGCTGGGAAAGAACAAGTAATTTTTAGACAAGACATGATCTGCACGTATGCACTGACTGCAGTTTTGTTTCAGAGAGGGTAATTTGTTTCATGTTATTCACCATCTTTAAACAATGTGAAAATGCCACACACAGAAGGGAGATGGGAGCACGTTCCTGAGTAATGCACAGAAATTTAATAGTCCATGAAGTGTGGATTTTGCATTATTGCCAGCTTCTTGTTAGGTAAAATGGAAGTGGGAGAGATGCTGTCTTTGCATTCTGCAAGATGTTTTTTATATTTAAATGCTAGTGTAAAACATGTAGCAACATTAATAAAACAGCTTAAATGTTTAATTTTAGCATTTGTTAAGCATAGTGTACTTCAAACCCTCACCTGCTGCTCTGCAAAATGGCCTTTGATCAAGGAGCCCATGACCTGCTGTGGAGACTTGGCAGTACTGATATAAGGAATGATGAAACTGCCATGGGTTTTCTCTGCGTAGCAGATCCAACCTGAGAAGAAAAGTAGTTAATAAACAGCTGCAGTAAACAACAAAAAAAGAGCACCCCTTTCCTTTCCTCTGCGCTCTGTCTTGCTGTTCATTAATTACTATTTTTAGTCTGATTTAGGCACAGAAGACTAGTTAGAGACATCTTTAGGTACCTGTACAGACCATTACTGTTATTAACACCGAGATCTCTGTACTGTGAAGAGAGTAAATCCTTTCCTCATTGCTAAATCTATCCATATTAACTCTTCTGATGAACTTTCTGAATTTTGCATGTTCTAGTGTACCACTAGTATGCCACATTACTATAAACTAGTTATGGAAATAGCATACCTGGGCAGGCAGAAGCTAGCATGGGCAAAGCCTTTTTGTCTTCAGACTGTTTTCGAAAGCGTTTTACAAACTCTCGTTGGCTCTCCAATAGGCTGAAGTTTCTTGAGAAAGTTGTATCAAACACATAGTGCACACCTAGGAGGCACAGCATCCGTGTTAGAATCCACAAGATAGATGCAAACAGCAAACCCCAACAAAAGGCTCCAATCAATCTGGGTTAAAAGAGCCTGTCTCTTGCTGTGTTGGATCTCTGCAGTTGACAGGGATCTTTTCCTTAATATGTCAGCATAAGACACCAGCAAAAGTAATGAGGACAACAAATCACTTGAAAGTTGTTCTTTCTATTACTCTGAGTTTATTACTCCACTGAAGCTGCAGGCACTTTACATTCCAGGCAATGTGAACTCTGAAATGCTATATATCTTTGATGAGGTTTTTCACATCGCCCTTGTGCATTCATAAAAGTTACGCTTAACACATACCCCAGCAACCCCAAACTTGCCTAAACTCTTCAAGAATGAGGTCAACTTCTTTGCTGTTTCCAGGACGCTCATTTTATATCTTGCAGCTAGGGAAGCTCTGGACTGCGGGGAAACAGATACCACCACCAACTTCTGTTCATTGGGAGCTGCAGTCTGAAAAAGAGCAAGCAAAATATCTTAACTGTTCAGATAGTATTAATGTGGTACATACAGCACTTTTGGAAATTCAAAAATATGTCCCAGTGCTTGGTCCTTAACTTTCAAATCATTAACTTGCTACATTAAAGACCCTTCCCAAAATTATGATCAATTAAAAAAGGGGGGGGAAGTGGGGATCCGTGCACTGCCAATTTGCTCAGATTCTTCTTCCTTAGAAATTAATTTTACGTGCATTGTTCTTCTGCATGTTTTTGCAGATACACCCCACTAACCCACGAAGATTTGCAAACTCGCCTATCTCGCTGCATCTTGTCACTTACCTTGTTAAAAGTTAGCATTTTGTACAGCTCTTCATGGCTCTGTTGGGTGATTAAAACACTTTCTGCTGATGTAATGCAGCCGCTACAAGCTAAACAGTCATTCAGAGTAATTTTGGCCTTTTCCAGTTTTTGTGCTCCTCCATCCTAGAAAGGAACAGACCCGACTCAGTCCTGATCACAGTACGGAAGAAGGCAAGTAGCTGCATCCCATTTTTTCTATAGTCAGTAGCAAAGGTGTTGCCCATTTCAGCCTCTCAATTTATCATCAAAAAAACTTTTGAGGAAGACAAATCTCTCTGAAGCTTGATTTTTAGTAGGATTGTTTGACAGTATACATAAAAGCATAGATAGATATTGAGGAACTTCAGAAAAAAATATAGCAAGACCACAGCTGTCACCAGCTCTAGAGCAGGTGTTGAGCCCACAACTATTTCTGCTATCTGGTGGGCTAACTTTGCTCCAAAAAGCTGCAGCTCTGCTTTCCCAGAAGCAAACGGAGCCTATCTTGTTTGCTTTTCCACCCTGTGTGTGGAGAGGAGTGGGGCTGGTGTGCATGGCTGACATGTCATAGATTGTAGCTGCTACTTTTAATCACAAATCCGCAGACTGCAGATCCCAGTCCCTTAAGCGGTCTCACTTTGTATTCAATGTTCTAATTAACGCTGGGGAAAGCAGGCCAGCTCTGCACTGGATATTGTTCATCTCATCAAATTTTACTAGGAATGTTTTTCACTGTTTTAAAATATTTTATAGCTTAGCAAAAAAATCAGTATGTAAAAGCTACAACTTGGCATTAAGTGACAGACTTGTGAATTCTGCATGCTACTTATCAAATCACTTAAAATGTATTATTAAAAAATTAGAGCAAAAAGTTAAAGAATATTTAAATACATCTCCCTGCAGCTGAGCACTCCACCTTGTGATGTAGTAAGAATCAAATAATCTAGAAACCCAGACACTTGACAACTAATGTCAAGTAGAGAAACTTTCCACCTCATCTGCATTTATACTGAAAATATCATTAATTAGGGTCTGTGAGTATAAAACAAAAAGGCAGATGTGAAATTAGAAATATTGCTTATAGAACTGGGTAACTAAAACCCCAGGCTCTGGAAAAAGATGTGAGAAGGCTGATGACAAGAGCAATAACTTTTGTTATATCTTGGTTCCCTATGAGGCAGTAAATAGCCGGATGGAGGAGCAAGTTGAATTTTCTGGATATATTAAACAATAACGAAAAAATGACACATACCTGATTGATCTGAAAGTAGCTCCCATCCGCTTCAATTCTGATCTTAGCTGCTGCTTTTCCAGTTTTTTTTTCAACTTTGACAGGTTTGATACATTCCTGAAGCAGAAAGAAAGCCCAGAAGTGAGCAGCTGGGAAATGTGGAAGATAAATATAGGAAAAAATTAAAAAAGAAAGAAAAAAAAAAGTTTAATTGAAACTAGATTGATCAAAAGCCAAGGCTCAAGGGTAAATGACACTTTTTAATTCTTCAAGATATGTTACATTTACTCACAGCATCTCTAAGCACCAAGTGAAAAAGTAAAAGCAAGAACTGCTTACCCCCTTTCTACAGAAGGAACATTTTTCCAACATCGTGCCGAAAGGAGAAGGCACTTTGGCTCTGCCTCCAAAGAAGCCAGCTGTGCTTTAAGGAGCCTTGGGAAGGGCAGTGACCTGTCTGCGAACCCCTCTCCTCCCACAAAGCCCTCTGGATCCCCCGTTTTCCCTGCGGATCTGCAGCCAGGCAGCCGCGGTCGCTACAGCCAACGCGTGGCTGCCGCCAGCGAAGGGGCCTCAAGCCGCAGGGGTGGGGGCAGGTTT